GATGTCAAATAATTGGAATCATACAGTATGTGGTCTTTTCAAATTGGCTTCTTTCAGTCAGTAACATGCATTTAAGATTCCTCCATGTCTTTTCATGGCTTGATAACACATTTCTTTTTGGTGCTGAATAATATTCCGCTATCTGGATGTACCACAATTTATTCATTCACTTACTGAAGGACATTTTGGTTGCTTCCAAGGTTTGGCAATTATGAATAAGCTGCAATAAACATTTGTGTGTAAGTTTTTATGTGGATATAAGTTTTCAATCACTTGGGTAAATATCAAGGGGGATGATTATTGGATCACATGGTAAGAGAATGTTTAATTTTATAAGAAACTGCCAAAGTGCCCTCCAAAGTATTGTGCCATTTTGCATTCCCACCACTCACAAATGAGAGTTTCTGTTACTCTACATCCTTGCCAGCATTTGATGTTGTTCTGCTGCTTTTAAATATGGACTGTTAGGGAAAAGAAGGGAGAATTCCCTGGGTTATCAGGCAATGTCTCTCACTCTCTTTCCTTGAATCAGAAGGAGTCTGTCTCTGAGTGTCTGCCAGGAGTTGGGGGAGGGGTGACATAGGCCCTCCCTTGGCCACCATAGCTGGTGTCACACTTGGTTGTACCACAAATCTACTGCCTCTGAGACCAGTGCAGCACCAGGGCTTGTGCAAAGACTGCAGTCCTTGTGGCCTGACTGCCAGTCATATTTATTCCAAGCCTCAGGGCACGTTACTCAGCTGGTGGTGGAACCAGCTGGGACTCAGTTTCCCCCCACTGGGGTGGAGCATTCCTCTCTGGCCCTGGACTGGTCTGAATGCTCCATTCATAGTCATCAGCACAGTTCTGCCCTGGTTTATGTTTCACTGTGACAGGGCAGCACTGACTTCCAATATGAAGTCCCACACTCATTTCACACTCGCCACTCCGACCATATAGATTTCCTCTCTGTGCCATGCTTCCTGGGGTTGGTGGAGGGGTGATGTAGGCAATGCAGGACTGTCTTTCTTACCCTCTTCAATGCTTCTTTCCTTGATATTATGTTGAAACCAGGTACTATGATCATTCACCTGATTTTTTAGTTATTCTGAGGGTGCTTTCTTGCCTTGATGGTTGTTCAATTTTGTGTTTCGGCCAGGAGATGATTGCTGGAGGGTTCTATTCCGCCATCTTGCTCCATCTCCTCTACTGGAAGAAGGAAATCTGACAGGATTTCAGTCCACAGGTAAATGATGAAGTATGTGAGTGGCAATAGCACCCTGTGCCTTGCTAAGACCTTCTGAGTGGAAGGGAGTATGCCTGCTACCTCACTTCTGTTTTCTGAAGCTAGCACAAAACATCTCTTGTAACCCACATGAATCCATGCTATTCAGGGAAGAAAATTCTAGCAAAAGTAATACCAGCTTGGCCAAGTTTGCAGGATACAAATTCATCTCTCACCTGATTATCTTATTCTTTTCTTTCTGGGACTCCAGGTACAAATATGACACATTTTCTGACTGTCCCATATATCTTATGTTCTATTTTGTACTTTGCATTCTTTTGGTTTTCTGTCCTTCAGTTTATATATTTTCTTATTAACTACCTTCCATTTGACTAAATCTCTCTTTTATCATGTTGAATCTGCTATTAAACACATTGAGTTCTTAATTGTGATTAATTTTTTCTGTACAAAACTTCCTTTTTATTCCTTTAAAATAATTTATAGTTCTCAACTGAAATTGTCCATATTCTCATTTATTTCTTTGAACATGTTTTTTTTCACATCTGTGTCATAATTCTAATATATCTTTATCTCTTGTGTCTTCTGTTTCTTTTTGTTTCTTTTGCTTTTTGGCACACTCTTGTCTTTTTATTGGTTTGCCTATTTATTTGTTTAAAGATAGTTTTTTGGCTATGTTTTGCAGGCTGGTCTTTACTCCTGGGCATAAGTGATCCTCCTGCCTTAGCCTCCCTAGTAACTGGGACTACCAATGCATGCCACCATGCCTGGCTTTGCCTAGTTACTTTTGATCAAATTATTATTTTGATTATGTTTCAGTTTGTATAAAATTATTGAGATTATTTTATTTTCCTCTCAAGAAAATTTATTTTTGCTTCTGGTGGGTAGTAAATGTAGGAATTGATCACTTTAACCAGATGTTGAGTTGATTCAAGTTCATCTCCAGTATTTTTAGGGGCTTATATATCTCCATATACTCCTATATAGAAAGGCATATATTTTCTTAGGAATAACTTTTGAGGGGTCCCAACTAAAAGCATCGGATGTTTAGTAGGACTCTCTTTCTTGGTGAGTGCTATATTCCAATCTTTGCCTTCTCAGCTCTGTGAGATGCCTGAAATCTTTGCTCAGCTTCTCAGCCTCTCTGCTGTTACTTTTAAATAGAAGTGCCTACAGGGAAAGAGTGATGCCAGTGACTTCCTTTCTTTTGAAGGATCTTGGAATTTCTAGTCTTTTCTGTCTTGGTAGTTCTCTGATACCTTTGAACAGAGGTTTCTCAGATTTTATCCAGGTTACCCTCAAGTGACATTCTTTAAAAATTGATTTTCAAGTTTTGTTTGCTGATATTTAGTTTTAGGGATTCTAGGATTTATAATTCTGAAAGGTGAGCACTTATGAATTTCAAGCTCTTGCAATCTAAGGTGTGAGTGAAAATATGCCCTCAGTGAACTTTCTGTGGTTTGGTATTCATTTTGAAAGGTAGTTAGGAGGGCGTTCAAGATGATATTGGTGGGAATGTAAATTAGTACAGCCACCGTGGAAAACAGTATGGAGATTTCTCAGAAAACTAAAAATAGAACTACCATGCAATCCAGCAATCACACTACTGGGTTTTAATCCAAAGGAAAAGGAACGTGGTATATCAGAGGGACACCTGCACCCACATGTTTATTGCAGCATTATTCACAAAAGCCAAGATACGGAATCTATCTACATAACTAGCAACAGATGAATGGATACAGAAAATGTGTATATAGACACAATAGAATACTATTTGTCCTCAAAAAAGAATAAAAGAATGTCATTTGCAGCAACATGGATGGACTTGGAGGTCATTACATTAAGTGAAGGTCATTATGTTAAGCCAGACACAGAAAACAAATATCACATGTTCTCACTCATATGTGGAGGCTAAAAAAGCTGATCTCATGGGGGTGGTGAGTAGAGTGATAGATTCCAGTGGCTGGGAAGGGTGTGTGGTTGGTGGGAGGATGAAGATAGATTGGTCAATGTGTACGAACATGCAGTTTGATAGAAAGAATACATTCTTAATATTTGATAGCCGAGTAGAGTGACTACAGTTAACAATAATGTATTGCATATTTCAAAGTAGTTAGAAGAGAGGATTTGAAATGTTCCTATTACATAGAAATGATAAATGCTTGAGGCAATAGATATACTAAATACCCTGACTTGATCCTTGTGGGTTCTGTGCATGTAAGAAAATATCACATGTACCCCGTAAATATGTACAAATATTATGTATCAATTAAAAAAAGGTAGTTGTATCATGTTGTGGGATAGGAAATTCATGATTAGCACACACATTTCATAGAGGAAGAAATTGAGGAATGAGCAATTGGAAGCCTGGGGAGCAAGTGACAAAGTTTCAAAAGAGATAATTGAAGAGTGAATAGAATTTGGATAAGTATGCTCCAATCTTAAACTCAGAAAATCTTATACCTTTCAGCTTTCTCATAGTTTTTTTTGTTTGTTTCATAAGTAAGAAAAAAGTTTTAGATCCCCCTCCTCAGTAGTCTCTTGTGTGCTTTGGCTGAGGTTTTGCTGATACTTTGGCTCTCCTGGGTACCATGTCTTTGCATCATTTAGGTGACTCTTGGATATCACCACATCTGTAGTTCACTGGGGTTGACTTGTATAGACCTATGCACAGAAAAATCAGCATCATTGCAAATATATAGAGGGATTCTTACAAGTGATTTCCATTTTCCCTAGTCACACCTCTTCAGATTCTAATTTTGTTGAATTCTTATTTATTTGACTTCTGTGTTGTGTTTTCTCCATTGTCCCCATGTCCTTGGGAGCCATAACCCTAAAAGATGTGTTCCCCTTCCCAACTCTGCATTCAAATCACATTGGTAACTTGAAAATGACCATAGTGGCAGTACTTACACCATGGAAATTGGGAAATCAAGACTTTTATTTCCCAGGCAGCAAAGTGTTGAACGTTTCCCAGCACACCATGCCCTAATCCCTCCATAGAACAAGGCACTGTCAACACACAGATGGATATAGGTCTGGTGTCGCCAAGTGGAGCAGCATCACTGTTGAGTATCACAAATGGCTTAATAATGAAATATCAGCTGTTCTTGTTCATGAAAATCCCTTGACTGTTCCTGCTTCCAGGGATCATGAATTTGTTTTTTCTCTTTAGGCACTAGCCTCTCATGTGGATGGTTGGGACAGAGCAGGAATGGAGTCATTTCTCTTCTTCTTCTTCTTTTTTTCTTCAGCCCACAGTTTGCGTAATGACAGGGAGAATCAGTCACAGTGTATTGTGTCCCAGAGCATTTGAATGGAGTCCCCTGGCGTGGTGTGAGCCGTGGTGTCGAACCCATATCCCTGGTCCCAACAGTAACATGTTCTCAGATCTGCCTTGATTTTGCAGCACATGGCGTTGGGGTACACACTAAACCGAGGGTCACACTGTCGTTCTCACTGGAGTAGCATGTATTAGCCTCTGTTCCCAGGCAAACCATCACCCGAACTAATGAGAAGACTACTGCTGTTCCTGCTGCTGCCACTGTCATGGGGTTTCTCTCTGGGAGCTCCTCCAAAGCATCACTAACAGGCCCACTGCTGGGACTAGTATATGGTGAATTATGAAACTGGGATTGCATTTTTCATTTTGGTTTGCCACGCACAAGAGATAGAAACTTTTCCTATCTTTGTTTTTCTACCTGTAAAACGAATATAATGTTAGTTGGCTTTTCTAATAGACGCAACCACAAATACGCATTATTTCTGCTGTGCGTAGGTCTACACGAGACAACGCCAGTGAAATACAGATGTGGAGACATCCAAGAGTCACCTAAACAATGCAAAGACATGATACCCAGGAGAGCCAAAGCATCAGCACCTTCTTTTATACCAACCACAACCACCTCGTTTCCTCTTTATAAGCACTCTGTGTGAGAATAGCAATAAAATAGTTTTAGCAGCTACCTTGGATTGATCTCTTTCTATTTACCATCACTATCCTGGGAGTTTCACACAAATTGCCCTGTTTAATTTTTACAAAATCATTATGGAATAGATGCTGCTACCATCCCAATTTCCAGAGGAGGAAACTAAATCTGCTGCTGAGAGTTTAAAATGATTTGTCCAAGATATTATAGAATGTGGTAGATTCAGAATTTGAACCTAATATAGAACTCCAAAACTTGTGTTTTTGTTTTTTTTTTTGAGACAGAGTTGCTCCATTGCCCAGGCTGGAGTGCAGTGGCGTGATCTCGGCTTACTGTAACCTCCACCTCCCAGGTTCAAGCGATTCTCCTGCCTCAGCCTTCTGAGTAGCTGAGACAACAGGTGTGCGCCACCGTGCCCAGCTAATTTTTGTATTTTTATAGAGATGGGGTTTTGCCATGTTGGCCAGACTGGTCTCAAACTCCTGACCTCGGATGATCTGCCCACCTTGGCCTCCCAAAGTGCTGGGATTACAGGTGTGAGCCACCATGCCTGGCCCCAAAACTTACATTCTTAACCACTGCTGCTTCTCAGAAAAGTGAGAGAAAGATGGAAAAGAGTGTGCAATGCTGTATTTTGTACCTCTCAAAGAGGACAGGTGGTAAACTTGGCCTCCTGCTTTTGGTCCTTGGGTGCTATGGAGCTGTGAGGGTCAGAGGAGCACAGGGCTCCCCTGGGGGCAGTTTAGACATAGTTGCTTTGCTGCTTGGTCCCTTTCCCTGGTTTCTCTCCCTGAGTAGGTTTCACAGACAGGCTGCAGCTCCCCAGAGAGTGAGGGGCTTCCTGCCAGCTCTGGTCTTAAATTGCAGCACTCTGAGGGGATGAGCACCGTGGAATCGGTGTGCAGACCAGACTCGAGTGCCACAAAGCAAATATTTCACATTTCATATTAAATCACATCCTAAAACAAGTGTGAAGAATTGGGATTAAGTGAGAAACGTTCATTTCAGGGATTGAAATGGGGTTTGATTAAGGTGGAATCAGAAAGTCCCCCTGCCCTGTCCCCACCTTTTCTTGGGGGGTCTGGGCATCTCATTCCTTGTGTGGGGCGTCCAATAGAGGCATCAGGCAGCACACAGTGATGAGGTGAGGAAAGTTGGGCTGGGTGCCTGGAATGTGCTGGTCACAACCAGGTTTTCCAGATTCAGGAAAATTAATGGGGTTTGGGACTCAAGGAAAGGCATTTCTCTGATTATGCATAAAAATAATCAGCACAAGGACTGGAGGGCAAGGAATAGCAGCAGATGAGTAAATGAAGCAGGTATGGGACCAAATCAATATATTCTTAGAGTGACTAAGAGTTGCATAGCCTGGGCAGTGTTTCTCAGATGCCTGCCTCCACTCAGGGAGGAACGGGTGGGAGCAAGGCTCTTCTGACCCTCAGTGTTTGTGGGGGCTGCTCCCCGACAGGCTTGCTTCATGCTCGAATCTTATTCCTGAGCACAGGCGAATTTAACCTCTACTCAATTGGAAGCAAGGGTCCCACTTCCCCTTTGCTTTCCTCGTTCTGCGGAGCAAACGAGGAAACATTTTATAATATACAGATGTGTAAAGGAAACATTGGGTTGTGGTATCTGATGTGTCTGTTTCTCCTCTGTGAAAACGTGGCATGCTTAAGAATGGACATTTTGGAGTAGAGGTTCCAACTTGTTGGATGGGAGTGGCTCCTGCATGGGTTGTGGAATGTCTCAGTCGGAGTCTCTCGTTGCTTCTGGAGTCTTTATGATAAACAAAGGGAATTCTCTGGGGCACAGAAGTTGCTTCTCTTTTCTTCCCACCTCTCCCAGTGAAAGTGCTTTGTAAATTTGAAGGCAATGGCTTTCCCAGGGCGGTCCCTAGACGAGCAGCATTGGACCCCCCACAACTTGTTAGAAATGTGCATTCTTGAGTCCCACTTCATAGTATGGAATCAGACATTCTGGGGGTGGGACCAGCATTGTGTGTGTCTAAGGAGCCTTCCAACTGATTCTGATGCAGGCTGGGGTTTGAGAACCACTGCTGTCAGGTCACGTGGCCCAGGAGTAGGGTGTTACTTATAATCAACCCTTCAGAGGCAGGAATGATGTGGATATGGGAGAAGACAGACATCTAGATTACTATAATCTTGTTACTGTTCTTAAATACAAGCATTTAATCATGTTACTCAATTCAGCAAATGCTTTAATAATTGTTATGTTTACATTTTAGAATCTATTTTTAAGCTATAGTGTTTGGTCCTCTATGAATGATTCATTCATTCATAGAAATGTATTGAACACCTACTATGTGCCAGGCAATTAGCTAGCCTTTGAGTTCAATGGTTAGCAAAACCAGAAAGTATCTGTTCTTCTGAGATTTTGAGAGTGTATGGAGGCTGGAGGAGGGATAGACATTAAACAAATACGCAAAGAAATTTTCGTGGTGATTAACACCTCGGGAAGAGGTAGAAACAGCAATCAAACAAAAAAATAAATATCAAACGACAAATCTGATACATTCTCTGAAGGAGTGGTATATGGTGGCTTGACAGAGGGGTCAGGGAGCCTCTTCCTTGAAGAAGTGACTTCTAAACTTAAGTGGAAACTGGTCATTGCCAACACAACTGAGAGGGGAGTGGGGCTCTGAAGAGGGTGAACACGGGGCTGGTGTGAGGAAGCAAGGTTAACTTAAAGAAATGGAAGCAGCGTTTTGAAGCCAGGTTATGGATTTTGGATTTTAATCTAATTGTAGTGAGAAACCCTGTGTGTTAGTTAGCACTCGTTAGGTAATGCTGTGTAACAAACAGATGCAGAGATCTCCATGGCTCTCAGTAACAAAGGTTGATTTCTCACTCGTGTTCCATCTTGACTCTGGGTCAGCTACAGCTGTGCTCCATGGACCCTGTTCATTGTGGGACCCAGGCTGAAGAAGCAGCTTGAATTTGGGTCATGCCCATCTCGTGGCAGAGGGAGAAGAGCATTGACAAAGCCCTGCATGACCCTCAGGCATGTGCCACCTCTGATCACATCCTCAGGTCAAAGAAAATCCCATGACCAAACCTCAGCCAGGAGCCTGCAGGGATGGGCAGATAGAGAGGGGCAGCAATAATTAGGATTAGGGCCCCTTCCTGTGGGCTCTTGAAGAGTTTTATATGTGCACAGGATTGCTGGTAACAGAATCAGAGCTGTTCTGAAAGGTGTAGTGATTGGACCCAAGTGTGTGCAAGAGTAAATAAGTGAGGCAAGAAGAGGCTCAGGTAATGTTCCAGGTGAGGAGATGGTAGTGGGAGGGTGGAGATGCAGAAAGCAGGTTGGAGAAAGATTTTGAAGGCAAAAAGAATAACCTTGGTGACCACTTTGTGGGTGAGGGAGAGTGAGTGTCAAGGATGACACCCCCCACCCAATTTTTGCCTTATGTATCTGGGTGAATGAGGGCATTGATACATGGAGCACTGGGAATGAGCATGTTTGACAGAAAAATTTCATGAATTTGGTTTTGAGTATGTTCAATTTGAGATACCTTGGAACCATCCGTGTTATACCATGTTAAGTAAGTAGTTGGGTATTTACTACATTATTTGTAGGATTTTTTTTTCCAGTTTCTTTTAGAATATTACCTAAAAGTTATACTGAGAGTGATTTTCTTTCTTTCTTTTTTTTTTCCTTTTTGAGAGAGGGTCTCACTCTGTTGCCCAGCCTGTAGGGCAGTGGCATGATCTGGGCTCACTACAGCCTCAACCTCATGGGCTCAAGTGATCCTCCCACCTCAGCCACCCGAGTAGTTGGGTAGCTGGGACTATAGGCATGTACCACCATGCCAAGCTAATATTTATATTTTTTGTAGATATGGGGTCTTGCCATGTTGCCCAGGTTGGTCTTGAACTCCTGGGCTCAAGAGATACTCCCACCTCGGCCTCCCAAACTACTGGAATTCCAGGTGTGAGCCACTACACCCATCCTTCAGAGTGACTTTCTTAGTGGAAATAACCTTTGTGTTATCATTTTCTCATTCTTTTTTTTTGAGACGGAGTTTTGTTCTGTTGCCCAGGTTGGAGTGCAGTGGTGTGATCTAGTCTCTCTGCAACCTCTGCCTCCTGGATTCAAGCGATTCTTCTGCCTCAGCCTCCCAAGTAGCAAGCTGGGACTACAGGTGCATGCCACCACACCCAGCTAATTTTTGTATTTTTAGTAGAGACGGGGTTTCACCATGTTGGCCAGACTGGTCTCGAACTCCTGACCTCGTGATCTGCCCGCCTGGGCCCCCCAAAGTGCTGGGATTACAGGAGTGAGCCATTGCACCTGGCTCCATTTTCTCATTCTTAGAATACGTAGGTATTAAAATAAAACATTGTTCGTGGGTAACAACTTTTTCCTATTTTTTTTTGTCTTAGGCTATTTAATAGATGGGAAAGCACCCTTCCTTTATATTTCTTATTTATTGATACAAGTGTTCCTGCTTAACCACGAACTAGAGGATACGCCTCCTTTTCCTTGGTAACACGGTGGGTGGGAGCCGAGGGAATCAAAGTGTAAAAATCAGACAGCATCTCTTCCCACCACTGTGTCTGCAGACCTCCCAAACTGAGGCACGGTGCTGAACACCTCCAGCATTTTCATATCAGAAAAGTGGCAAATATAGTCAAGGACGATGAGCAGCTGAAATTACAAAGGGTTCTTGGACCACTGAGACAGGTTTTTTAATCCTTTTAGGATCATCCAACCTTTTCTGAGTGTTGCTTCATCTTAAGTAAATTCTTAGAGTTCAAGAAAATTCAGTATTTAGAATACAAAGCAGGAAGGATGTGGGCTTGCTTGCTTTCTTTTTGTTTCTCCCAGTATTTCTAGAGTAAATATGGTTTCAGAAAATACCCCGTGTGATTTTGAAACACATTTTGGCTGGAATCTCGGCAACACTCCCCCTTCTCCAAGTGATGCCCTTTAACACACTATTGAAGCTATTGGACCGAGATTACAAATCTCAGGGAATGTCAGGGATCTCTGAAACATGAAGGGAAGTGTGG